TTCTACAAGATTGAGGACAGGGCCTATCTTGTCCAAAGCATTCAGACTCCTCTATAAAAGAATGAGTCAGAAATACTTTGGAGGGGTTATTTATAATCGTCTAAAAATGCCTATAGGTGTCCGTACATAGCTCGAGACGGAGAGAAGACGACGAACATCGTTATCCGAATCAAAGAGGATTATTTGACGCCGACAAGCGCATGAAGCGAATCAGCGAACCGTTAACGACGTAGTAACAAGCTACCGGAATAGCCACCTCCAAGTAGCCCAAGTGCTCACCGGCCACCGCCAAGTGGCCCGTATGCTCACCGGCCACCGCCAAGTGGCCCGCGTGCTCACCGGCCACCGTCAAGTGGCCCGCATGTTCATCGGCCACCAGAATGGCAAACCAAGTGGTCCGTGCGCTCAACGGCCACCTCCATGTGGTCCGCACACTCACCGGCCACCGCCAAGTGGCCCCCATGCTCACCGACCATCGCCAAGTGGACCGCACGCTCATCGGCCACCAGAATGGCAAACCAAGTGGTCTGCATGCTCACCGGCCACCGCCAAGTGGCCCGCACGCTCATCTACCACCAGAACAGCAAACCAAGTGGCTCAAGCGCTCACCGACCACCTCCATGTGGCCCGCACACTCATCAGCCACCTCCAAGAGGCCCATGTGCTCACCGACCACCGTCGAATGGCCGCCGCTCATTCGGCTACTCGAATGCAAACCAAGTGGCCTGCTCCTTCAGACCGATCACTCCAGTGGCGCCGGCGCTCTGCATCGACCAACTCCTAAGTGAGCGCCGCGTAACTCCAACCGATCAGCTCAGCAAGTGGTCACAGACGACGCTCACAGAGCGGCACCTCCAAAGTTAAAAGCGAAACGCATGAAGTGAAATCGGTGAAGCTAGCAAGTCAACAAATTGACGGAATGCGGGTAAAAGGAGCGAAACAAGTGCCCAAACCGAACAAAAGACGCGAAAAAGCCAAGGCTCGCGTTGGGTGGCAAGCCATCTTCCGGCAAGTGGCCCAAGCCACCGTAAAGTGGTGCTCGCGTGCAAGTGGTGCTCGCACGCCGCGAGCCACAATGTGCTCGCATAGTGCCGAGCCACCAGATGGTGGCTCGCGCCCAGAAACACTAAAAACACGTTTTTTGATAGTTTTTCAGGATTTTTTCGTTCCAAAACCTCCCTAACTGCTGTGAAGCTATCCCTAAACGCGGTTAAACGGTTATTGACTGTACATAACGTCAAATCATCAGTTCTTATCAGAAAATACTACAACAAAAGCCTATAAATACGAGCCTAGGATTTTCTTTCACAATGGGCGAGTTATAATCAAAGAGGGCGAGATGCTGCCGAATTGCAGAGCTAAGAGCCACAAATTTCTGAGAGGGTTAGCTAGATCTTGGCGATTTCCTATGCATAAAGAGTGGATTTCGAGAGATCTGAGACCCATATCCCCTTTCCTCCGGATCAAACTTGGTTTTGATCTCGAGAAGAGTCGTAATCTCGCTTGGTCGAGGTTACCACTACTGTGATTGTTTTCTTTGTGAAACAAGAGCATTAATTAACTTTTCTGTCAACCGGATCTGATCCGCGACGGTCCACGGACTAACGCATCCTCGACAAAAGCAAAGTCCTCACGCAAGCAACAGGAAATAAACCGTTGTTGTGTGTTGTTTGAAGGAAGTGTAATCTTTATATTTTCATTGTGTAAGATCTTATAAAAAGATCAACTTTTTGTTTATTTGAGTTTATTATAACGGCTAAAGTTGTAATAGATTTGATGACAATGAAAACAAAAATTTCTAACCCAAACAACCCCTTTTAGCAGCTATGTCGAGACGAAGGTATAGAGAGATACTTCACAGTTAGTCATACACTGCAGCAGAATGGGGTGGCAGAGAGGTTAAATCAGTCTTTACTGGAGAAGATCTGATGTTTATTAGCACATAGTGGTTTTGAGAAGATCTTTTGGGCTGTAGCACTTTCATATGCGAGCCACCTCATTAATAGGCTACCTTCATCTGCGATTGAGGGAAAGACCATTATGGAGATGTAGTCGGGAGAGCCAGCACACGAGTATGACCAGCTCAAGGTAATTGGGTGCCCTGCATACTATTATGTTAAGGCTGATAAGTTGGAACCTCGAGCTAGGAAGGTCATATTTGTAGGATTCAAGCGTGGTGTTAAGGGATACAAGCTATGGGATCCAGTTTATAGGAAGATTGTGTTGAGTAGAGACGTCACGTTCGATGAGGCTTCTATCTTGAAGCTTCCCAGCTCTCATCAGGTGGAGAGCGACCCGACGGAGGAGATATCATAGATAGTGGAGATCAATGCAGCTCCACATTATCCAGATGGTACAGTATCTAATAGAGTGCCGACTGAGGTGACGCCAGGCGAGCACGGTGAAGACGAGGAGTATATGGGTACAAATGTATAGAATCAGGGACCGATGGCTCAGGTTCAGGATTCTATTGCGGTTCGGAGACAGAGGAGAGATATACGGATGCCAGACGGTATACTGACACAGTAGTTGCATATGCACTTCCGGTGGAGAGTAACGACGAGTTGGCGCCTACTACATTCAGATAGGCTGAGCAGAGTTCGGAGGCTGATTCGTGACAGGTAGCTATGCAGGAGAAGATGGAGTCTCTTCACAAGAACGATACATGGGAGCATGTTGAGCTTCCAAAGGGACGGAAGGCGATTGGTTGCAAGTGGATATACACGAAGAAATAGGGCATTGAAGGCACTCCAATAAGGTTCAAGGCTAGGTTGGTTGTGAAGGGCTATGCACAGGAGAAATGTATTGATTATAATGAGGTTTTCTCTCCAGTGGTAAAGCACTCTTCGATTCGGATTTTGCTTGCTTTGGTGGCATAGTATGGATTGGAGTTAGATCAGTTGGATGTGAAGACGATATTTTTTCATTGTGATCTTGATGAAGAAATATATATGGCTCAACCATTGGGATTCCGAGATGCAGGGAATGATAAGTTGAGAGATTGTAGGTTGAAGAAATCGTTATACGGTTTGAAGTAGTCTCCTCGACAGTGGTATAGGCGATTCGATGGATTTATGATCGATCATTCGTACACTTAGAGCCAGTTTGATCCTTGCGTGTATTTTCGCAAGTTGAAAGGAGGTGCGTATATTTATTTATTGCTTTATGTTGATGACATGTTGGTTGCCTTTATTTCTAGGTCTGCTATAGAGGAGTTGAAGGCACAACTTTCAAAGGAGTTTGAGATGAAAGAGTTGGGTGAGGCAAAGCGTATTTTAGGGATAGAGATCGGCAGAAACAAAGAGAATGACAGAATTTGTTTAACACATGTAACTTATTTAAAGAAGGTTCTACAGCGATTTAATGTTAGCATGGATATGAAGCCAATCAGTGTCCCTTTGGGAGCCCATTTGAAGCTTTCAGCTGACCTTTTACCGCACATCAGGCAACAACTAAGGATAAGAAGTGTGAAAAATATCCAAGATCTCACTTAGAGCAAGTTCATGCATATGTATTGGAAAATCTTGACATTTTTCAAGACTACCAAAGGTAACAAATGAAATTAGTAATAAAGATGATATATGTTCATTTACTTTTAGTTTACCAATACAATCTTATAATATTGTACTAATAGGCGACATCTGGAGAAGCTTAAAAATGAAATAACCGGTAGGAATGCAGCGCATAATAATTCTGGAAAGAAAAACATAAGAAGGAAATTTCAGATTGGTTAAGAATTGGTGCAAGTATTGTACAATTAAGTTTTGAACTTTCATAATATAACTTTAAGTTAAACTTGTCCTAAATATTCTCCATTGTTGTTTGGCTTAAATCACTTCTTGATGGCACTACATTATCAGATGAAATTATTATTCATGCACAACGTCCTTACCACAAAGTAAGATGTTATAATGAGCATCTTGTTCAGGTGACTAAGGAGATGAGTAATGTTGTGAAGAGGGCCCGCACAATGAACGAGGTCATAGCCTACATCATAAGTTGCTTGGCCTGTGTGATTCCTGCTCATATGTTTGGTGAAGTTATAGCACTTATAAACTCGGGCGCCGATAATACTGGCTTTAGGCAAAACAGCGCACAGGTATCTTATTTTCGTGTTAATACTATGTTAATATGAGTTCATTAAATCTTCTGTAATTACATATTACTCCCATAAATGCAGAAAATTACAAGAAAAATTATATACTGGTCCCCATAATATTCAATAGTTGCATATTATTTTCATTAAAGTGAAAATACTAAGGAACTGATGCTATTGCATATCAGTCCAAAAAAATCAATAGCTACATATTATTTTCACAAAAGTGAAAATCCTAAGAAAGTAATGCTAAATTGAATATTTAAAGGACTAATGTATAAAAAAATCATTCATATTTGATATATTGTCAAATTTTACATGATTCTAAAATATAATCAATTTGACCTTCAAGTAGCAGATATTAGAGGGAGCAGTAGTGATTTTCATACGAGGGATAGAACCGCTGCCGACGACGACGAGATGTGAGATTTCTTTTTTATATTTTATGCACTAAACAATTTTTTATCTGTAAGAGTACTCTATTTTATTCATCTAGTGATATATGGACTTAGTATAACTATTGTATCTATCGTAAATATTCGGATAAGATAAGATTTTGCTGAAATGAATGTTGGACTGATTGTTGGATGCGTATATGGGATTGGATTGTTAGATGTGTATATTGGCCTGAATTGGAATATTGATTATGTGTATTATATTTGATTGGATGTGGATGTAAAATGAACAAGAAATGTATATTGATCTGTATATACATGTAAATGTAAAATATACAAGGAGTCGGTTATTTTTAAAGAAAATCTACGAAGTAGAACAACCTAGACAGAGTTTCTGTTTAGGTTGTTGTAAAAGCAACCTAGATGGATTTTCCGTCTAGGCTGCTTCAAAGATTAATTTAGCTCTAATAAACCTTTCTTTTTAGCTAAGGAAAGCTAAATGCCAATGATGCTAGGATAATAGAAAGATTTTTCAAATAGATAATGCACATACAAATGTGGCATGAGGAGTACAACTGCGGGAAACAGAGAAAAAGAAAAGGAAAAAAAGAAACTAAACCTCCAAACAAAATAACGGATGTAAAGTTCAAGGCAACAGTGGAGGGTGCCAGCTGCCTACATCACTTCGTAAAATGAGGAATGAACTGTGAAGCTAATTCGCGAGCATGGGCGTTATCCACTTCAAGAAGGCGGAGGACCTGGATTTGTATCAACATATTAGCAATTTTATCGGGTATCCAGCATGCATGAATTGAATAAAATAAATAATATAACTGAATTCCCTCCAATTGACGAGCACGCCGGATTGGAAAACGGGCTGTGGACAATGTAAGCAAAGAGTCTAATTGGTTGCTTAATTCTTATTTTCCATTCCAAGGGCAGAAAGCTCGCACATTACTAGGTTTTGGATATATATAAGTACAAATCTATAATTGATGGTGACCAATCCTTCCAATAAATTATAAGTAAATAAGCCGCAGATGCAGACATGGAAATCTTAACTAATTCTAGGATCCATTAAGATAAACATTATGATGGGCATACGTCGAAAGGCCACACAACACGCTCCTTCAGATGTATTAGATTGCAGCTGGTAAGGAATCTTTTGGTACACGGATGGAAATGGGCTCGTGTTGGCCTACCGCCTGCAACCCCCACCTGAATATTTTTCCGTACATGGGCGGGGCACCCCCAAGTAGTATACTCGTTTCCACGTCTCGGTCTAAATTCCGCAAGGCACACTTAGCATCATATCATCGTTTGTTTGTTCCCCCCCCCCCCCCCCCCCCAACAACCCCAACCCAATTGGGTTAATGGCAGTTTCCCATATGCATCGACAGCAGAAGATCAAAAAGAACCCGGAACTGATGATAGCAAATAACCAACTAAAAACTGTTAGGTCCCATTCTACCTTTGTGCAGTTATCGCCTTATCACAGAATATGCTTTCGGTCTGTTTGACAATAACTCAAATTTTAGCAAGCTGCAGCTATCTAACTCTAAAAGTTGGTTTAACCGCAGTTTACAAAAATTCAATGGGAATGAGATTTTCTTTACTTCAATAGGTATAAGCAAGGAGAAGTATTTCCATTCTATTTCTAATTTCCCTATCTTTTCTTATACTTATCATTAAAACTCCGCATATGTATTTCTTTTTGTTATTCAAATCCATTTTGCATTGCGCTATTTCCAACAGACTATGAAGTAACTTAAACTAAAATTCAGAAACTGATATTATATATATGTGAATGCGAACTATTATTTTCAATGGAGATTCCACCACTTTCCGCTTCTAAACGAAACTTTCTTAAAAATTATTCTACATGGCAATATCGGTCACGTAGCATCTAGAAAGTTTAGTTTATAACTATTTTTTTTTTCAAATTCCACTTGCCAGACATGGCACTATATAAACTTGAATGAAGATTCCCGAGGTTCATAAAAGTTAAACTCCAAGTTCCATATGCCAAATCGCACCATATATTAAGATCTATATCCAATTTAATCCGGATGTTATTTTTTGTCATATAAAAATTGAGAAAGTATGATTATCTTTTGTCTCATAAAAATTGAGACGGTACTAGCATATGCCAAATATAACATTCTCCCTGGAAAAATTCCACCGCTAAGCGTACAAAGAACAATACAAAGTAATATTTTCTTTTGGAAAGACAGTAGTTCATTCTTGAAACTGGGACTTTCTTGTACCACAATCTCATCCATTATCAATGAGTAATCAGTAAAGTAACAACTAAAGTTGAGGTGTTTCTTTCCCTTGCGATAGACTCAATTGGTTGAATTTAGTATATTTTAAATTCTTTAAACTAACTAATATTTCATGAGCCCGTGACACTATCTACTGTAAGGCTGATGTTGAGTTGGAATCAGGTTGAGCGCCAATTACGAGCTACTATCAATATTTACGGTACTTTCTCAAACTTGAGTTATCTTCAATGGGCTTGTCAAATTTTGATGGAAAAGCCATGGAATGTGATGATCAAACATGCCCTTTCCTAGCTATCAATTAATTTAAGTACGAAAAAACATGAAGGCATCTGTGCTAAACAGAAACAGAAAGATTGACTAATTCGAACACAAAAGCTTCAACAAGAACATTATATACAAACCTCCCCCATGGCTGGTCGCATTTCAGGGTCTCTCCTAACACAAAGGAATGCTGCTCTAGCCAAATGGTACAACTCATACGTGTCATAAGCTTCTCCAAGGCGAGGATCAATAAGTTCATGAAGTGCAAGCCTTTCAACAAGTGGTTCTGCCTGAAAAATCAATATACATATGATTTTCAACAAGTGGTACTGGTACCCATGCAACTTAGCATCCAGTATAACTTTCTTAAAAAAGTTATTAAATCTCTATAACATACCCACTGCAGTATATGTTGGCACTCTCGTCGATTTTCATCTCGTACCATTCCCCCTGATATCAGTTGAAAAAGAACTATTCCAAATGCATAAACATCTGTCCTTACAGAGACAATTCCATATTCAGCATACTCAGGAGCAAGATATCTGTGATTATCCATCAAAAAAACCTGTGATTAAGAAAGAGAACAAACAACTTTGTGTGGAATACGTGTATGGACTACCCCATTTAGACATATAAAAATGCATTTTAGCACAAAGAATACCCTGATGTGCCCAGAACTCTTGTGTGAAAAGATTCATTTCCAGACTTCCATTTTGCAAGGCCGAAGTCCGCAAGCTGCACAAATCAGAATTTGTCAAATTATATTGCTACGAAACAGCATTACACATGTAATCATAAAATAATCATAATATTGTCTTCCTTATGAAGGAACTTAAAGGAATAAAACGAGCAGAAGAGCTACCAGCAAAAACTGTTGGACACATGCTTACGGTCTAATTTGATATATGACAGAGAAGTACCATACAAGGAGTGAATATGGGGATCCCCCATCACAAATACTCTTCTTCAGGGGAATGGCTAGAGGCATCTTTGTGCGGGCTATGCAACTCATCCCCCCTTCCACCCCCCAACACCAATACTAAAAATAAATATAAATAAATAAATAAATAAATAAATAAATAACTAAATATAAAACCCACCCAATACCCCCCAAGAAAAGCAATGACGTAGATGGAGCAATCAATAACATAAAAGTGTACCTGAAGTCATTATACTAACCTCATAATCTCACAATAAAAATATTCTTAGATATCAAAACTTTTGATGAATCCCTTACATTACTATTGAGCTTCAGTTTAACAACTGCTGTTTCCTGAGCCTTAAAAGTGACAGCCAAGGCATAAAATATTTATTTCTACTTGAGGAGCTCAAGACTTTTAAAATAGATCTGAAAGCTTCACCAATCATATTAAATTAAAGAATGGGAAAACGATAGCTAAATCACCTTATTTGAAATAAACTTGATTTGTCCTTGCAACTATTATCTTCTTTTCATGCTACGCTAAGCTCTTGATTACATAACAAGTTAGTATAAGCCTGATGGCATTCCTTCTTCACTAAAATTGCACTTCAATTATGAAGACATAGAGTGAGAAAAACAAAACATAATACCATGGGGACAAAGTCATGAGTTAATAAGATATTGCTTGGCCGCAGATCTCGATGAATAATTGGACCACCACGACACTCTTCATGTAAAAAGCGCAGTCCTTTTGCTATTCCAATAGCAATTGCACGTCTGTTGTGCCATTCAAGTAGATCGGCAGATTCACCTGTAAATGCAAGGCAACAAATGGAGTTAACGATGGAAATTGAGTTCAGCAGAACAAGAAAACAGGCTCCAGAATTAAAATATCAAAAGAAAATATAATAGCAAAATTTATGTGATATTTATTTCAGTGTATACTTACTGAATAAATGCCATTCCAGAGATTTGTTGCATATGTACTCATACACTAAAATGTTATGGTTCTCCTTGCAGCAATAACCCATCAGCATCACTATATTTCTGTGCCGTGCAAAGCTCAGGACATGCACTTCGGAAAAAAATTCAGAATACCCTTGAGTACTTGCTTCTTTCCGTACCTTCGCAGCAACTATCTGCCCATCTTGAAGTTTTCCTTTATACACATGGCCAAAACCACCTTCTCCCAAGAAATTCTCATTCGAGAAATTAGCTGTTGCATGTTGAATTTCCGAATATTGAAATCTCATAGAATCCTTGATATAAAGTACAGACCTCAGTCCACAAAGCGCACACAGAATTGGCTTTTCCAATGAGTCATACTGGAACACTGTGCTATGTTGATTACGTGCAACCTTAGGACCAGAAAGAGTCTTCTGATCTCCTCTTGAATACTTTCCTGCAAGCAGATAAGGATTACTTTGACATTACAATAATTCTCGGAGGAAAGAAGAAATATGATCCCCTTCTGACAAGATGTGATACAGGCGTCTACAACAAAGATGCTAAATAACAGAGCATGCAAATCTTCAGTTCACACTAACATGTAGAAAAAGCACAATGGAAGCTGCAACCATTGAATAACTTAAAAAAAAGAACATTTGGAGAACCAGCATATAGTTTTGAAGGTACACGTCGATGTCTCTTAAAGAATTTAAGCTTCTTGCTTCTTAGATGTGTGCAAGCATTGAATTTTAACATTTTGGAGTTCAACAATGTTGACATTGGTGGGTCCGCCCAATTGATTGTGTAGGCATTTTAGTGCTAGCCGGTTCTTAGGGACCTGGTCTATCTAAATCTCTAGTTTTTTGAAGGTACACGTCGATGTCTCTTAAAGAATTTAAGCTTCTTGCTTCTTAGATGTGTGCAAGCATTGAATTTTAACATTTTGGAGTTCAACAATGTTGACATTGGTGGGTCCGCCCAATTGATTGTGTAGGCATTTTAGTGCTAGCCGGTTCTTAGGGACCTGGTCTATCTAAATCTCTAGTT